GCCCTATTTCATAGCCCTGCTGCTGCGGCAAAAATTGCCAAATTTCCTTGTGGGACATCTTTTCGTGTCGGGCTCAACTTAAGAACTGATCAAGAAATGAAATCAAAGCAAGACCGAAGCGCAGACGAATCAGAACGGAGAGAGAAGAGCGAAAAAATGTCTCTCATCTTAAACACGGAGAGCGTAAATTGCAGAAAAACAGAAGGACCGCAATACGTTTTAGCTTTTGCCATACACACATACAAATATATGTATGTGTGCATTAGAAAACGGAGTCCTAAACGGCGCCAAACAATTTTGTATTAATTTTTTTTTGTGTAACTAATTTTATGAATAGTCACAGATAGAATTGGTTATATTCCCCCTGCCGCATGACTAATAAACCGACTAAATTAAAATAAGAAATATTAAGTTTAGGCCGGAAATTGTTAGTTATGCGTTATATTTTTTAATACCTTAAAATACTTACATTTGTAAATATATGTATGTACTATTGCGCAAATACTCCTTTCCCTGCCACAACACCATTAAAAAATAAAACGCAACTTCCTCATTTGCATTAAATATGTACATACATATGTACACCCAAATGTACACACGTATATACATATGTATTTCCAAGTATTTGCTTGCTAATCTTTATTTTGCTAAATAAAATATTCCTCGTTTCTTGCCCCTAATATTTATGTATATTTACTTATCGGATTACAGACCGGATAAAAGAAAAGATGCACATATGTATGTACATAAGAAATCAATAATTTAGGGCTTTTGCATTTGTATATTTCATTCTTTTAAGTGTATTTGTTTCTGAACATATTCAAGAAATTACTATTTGGTATTGGGTTTGCGAAAATATAGTTATACCAACTTTAATTATTTGTTGTAATGGTATTTCGAAGAAAAAAATGACAATCATAAACCAGAGTCAGGGGGTGGAAAAGAGATGGAGATATATATATGCAAGCGTATGCTGGATAAGACGGCTACTTTTTAATCGGGTATTAAAAATAGTAAAAAGTTAATAATTGAAGCCGTCATATTTTTTAAACATTTATTATGCTTTTAACTATTTTTTAGCGAAAACACGCTATCGATTGGTTTAACGGTTTAGCGTACAGGATTTCATTTTCTAATTGAATGAGTTTTTGGCACTTTAGTGGGGTGTGGGTCACCAATAATTATAAACTCAAGACTACAAAAATTAAAACCTTATTAAAGCTCATTTTATATTTTTAAGGACGCGCAGGGAAATGCAAGGCAGAGGGAGAGGGAGGGAGACCGAATGATTTGTTGACAATTTGTATGAAAATGCAGAGAGAGATACCAATATGCAGGCAGAAAATGTATGATGCATATGGAGACACTTAAATTCGATAATAGATCGACTTTTTGCTTAGTTTCTTTGTTTAGAAGATAGCTAGAGCTCTGGTGAAACTATCAAATGAATCGTTAACGCTTAAGGAAAATTATTACTGAAGAAATTTTTGATACTCAATTTAGAAGTGCCATTTTTCAACGTTTGAAGATATTTTTGGCTAAATTGTAATTTTAGAACGGGTGTTAAAAATAGTAAAAAGCTTCAAATCTAAGCGTTCAATTTATAAAACATTTATAATGACTTAAACTATTTTTATGCGAAAACACGGATTCGATTTGTTAAACGGTTTAGTGTCCAGAATTTTGGAAAAGGAAATTGACCTTTTTTCCAATTGGAAGCGATTGGGGCCATTTGGGGAGCCCCAATAAATCTTAGCAAATCAGTTTAAAGTTATTAGAATGTAATAAAAATACATATTAATATTGTTAACCAGTGGTTTTGGCTGTGCGTTGATTCCCAGTTTTCTTACTGATAGCTTTATATATAGAGATAGCTTTATATATAGAGATGACTGCCCCCCTGACATTAAAACATTAAAAACATTAAAATATCGAATATTAAATTAAATAGAATCTTTATTATGTAGAGGACTAAATTTTGGCCAAAAATCGCATCGATTGATTAACGCGTTTAGCGTCCAGATTTTTTTATAGAAATTGGGGGTTTTTTGCCACTGGAAGAAAATGGGGGCATGTTAGTGTTATAAGAATTGAATGGTACAAAATTTTAAAAGGGTCATTTAATTAGTTTAGGCTGTGCGTTGATTCTTAGTTTTCAATGAACAGTTTTATATATATAGATTCAAACAATAGCCAACATTTTTTTTTTTAATTACCTTCACGTCTCACAAAATTATTCGTTTTTAGTTTCGGCATCAAATTTTGTTTTTTTTTTCATTCAGTATTTTGTTTGTAAGCCGTTGGTTTTCTTAATAGCATTCGGCACCTCACTTCGGAAATATACGACCAAGCCTTTAGGAAAATCAGTTGTAGTACGTTCTTAGAGGAAATCTTATGTTCCTGGACTTTTGGCTTGAGGTCTGGGGTCTGTGGAGCCGTTGGAATCGGGTTGGTGTTGTGCAACAGCCATATCTTTATTTAGATATGCTTTAGTATTCATAATTCCGTTAAATAAAACCTTTTTCCTACTCCTCCGGCTGTCATGCAGCCCCAAACTAGAACGGAACCTCCGCCGTTCCTCACCGTTGGTCTAGCGTTTTTAAAATTAAGCCTAGTACACATATCGACGAAAACTGTCCGCCAGTCATGAGAGAGAGCGAGAGGCAAACAGCTGGCGTTCACTTTTCGTCAAGGGTTTTTTTCACCTCGGCCCTCAGATCGACGAAAAAATACCAGAACATTACATAGCGTTGCCAGTCTGCGGAAATGAACTTTGGGTGAGCCCTAGCGAAAAGATTAAAAAATTTAATCTTTTGGCGTGCGCTTCTCACTAAAGCCTAGTATCCAGATCGACAAACGATTACGCTAGCGTAAAAACTTTAATCTTTTCTGACCATAAGTTTGAGAGTTCATCAGATTTAAGCGTGCTACGGTCGTACTGTCAATCAGCTGGGTTTGTTGACAAGCAGTTAAAATTCAAATATCGTATTTGTTGTGTTTTTTCGTACATTCTGGACCTAAAAAACATTTTGCTCTGACAAGAGGCACCCCAGATAGTATTAAAGTTATTTTGTCCTCACATGTAAACACCTGTAATCGACTTTTGTGAGTTTTTTGAGTTTTTCCCAACATTTCTTATAATATTCAGTGAGAAGCGCACGCCAAAAGATTAAATTTTTTAATCTTTTCGCTAGGGTTGATCAGGGGACCGACGTGAAAAAAAGGCCCGACGAAAAGTGAGCGCCAGCTGTTTGCCTCTCGCTCTCTCTCATGACTGGCGTACGGTTTACGTCGAAGTGGATACTAGGCTTTAACTTTGATTCGCCAGTCGGATAGCCATTTCTCCACTGCCACTAGGTGTTTAGCAAGTTGCGCCGTAGCTTGCTTGGGGCATCTCGAGCGGCTTAGGATCGCTGTGTCATCAGCAAAAGTGGATGTTGCATGCTCGTTGGGATGTCCGCAGTGTAGGTATCTTTCCCAAAAGTTGTCTTTTTATTGCAGGTAGTATATAAGTCGGAACGAGCCGGATCGGGCGACATAGCTCACATAGGAACAATCGGAAAAAACAATTTAAAAAAATTATAACTTTGTTGTTTTTAATTTTTTTTGTTTTTCTTTGGGATTTTGTAATATTTAAATATTATGGAATTACGATTTTAATTAAATTAAAATCGGACAACAATATCATATAACTGCCATAGAAACGATGGCAAAATGCAGCTCCAAATTGTTATGGAACTGCATTTGGTCCTGGGACGGCGCCGGCTAGCTCCCGAATCCCCAGGGCGGAGTATCCCCAATGTCCCTACAGATTCCACAACATAAACATCGATATACGCGCGTCTCACTTCACAAAAACTATCGCTCATCACTAACAAACAAAACAAACCAAAATGTAAACAATGCAAACAATTAGGAGTGACGGGAAATATATGGTGTTTTGGTGGCTATTGGTGACCTAGCCAAGCACGCCCACCCAACCAAGGATGCCCCGGATGATTCTGAGGAGGCATCACCCATAATCAGCTGGTCGAAGTCACTCCTCGCGACTAGGACAGCTCCATCTCCCCCACAGCGACAACTCACTCGCACATTTCGGTCTTCATGTACATTTAATATCCACAGTAAGTACTAAAGTTAACATAACTTGTTCTCCTAGTAATTAATTTATCCTTTCATAGCCTCTACGACCAAACTTGGCCACCGTCTCCAAATTTAACCGGTCAAAGCGGAAGATTACCTTCCTTTGGCAAAGGCTACAGGCGCCGCGGAAATAATGTTCCACCAGTCACTTATTGGTGGAACTCGCATTGAACGAGGCGCACAAAAGGGCACACACTAGGTATGTGTCGGGTCACCTAATCCTGAGGAGCTCCTAGGGAAAAGAAGGGACAGGCCAAACGGTAAGTATTACGCGCTGTAAACAATCCCGCCGAAAACTAATAATCGCGACCCTTTTTTACAGGCAACAACGAGGACAAGAATTGAGGTTTTCGGGTCTAAGTCCGGATAAATTTACAGGTCAACAGGTAAGTACATAAATTTAATAATGTGCACAGTTAAATTAACGTTAATAATTTCAGCCACTTCTGGGCTAGGCGCCGGGCTAACTATGCCCCGACTACAGCGTACTCTGCCGGAGGCCAGCGCCAATAAGGGCCTGTAACACCCGGAGGAACGGTGGTTAAGGAAGGGATAGATGGCGGTGCCTCTCAACGCCGCGCGCACTGGCAGCCTGACGACCCCAAAGCAGGTGGGTCTTAATAGCCCGGAACGGACTCACCGGCGTGTATAAGAAAGCGTTGGCGGCGTCCGAGGATGACGAGTTATGGTGTCCAGATCTCGTAGCTGGCTCGACCGAAGGTGCGTATTTTCCTGATTTTCCCGATTTAATTTCCTCCAATTTAAAATCACGATTTATTTCCAATTTGATTTTCCAGATTTAATTCCCTCCAATTTGAATGTCCAATTTGAATTTCCAATTAGTCCAATTTTATATGTCCAATTAAGTCTTCTAATTTGAACTTCCAATTTAAATTCCTCCAATTTAAATATCCCGGGGCCCTTTGTATTGGGACCCCGGTTGCCCTACGAATAATTATTTATAAATAAAATGAACTATTAAACCTAACACAAATTTTTCTAACACTCACTTTTTATATATTTCGGCACAAACACTATTTTAACATTTTTATGTTCTGTCTGCTGGGACAATATGGCTGCGACTATATAGAAATTTGCCTATCATGCCTATATCTCGCCATATTCCCTTCCCCTCTCTCGAAATTGGGTCATTGGACATATCAAGGCCATCCTAGCCATACCCAGAGCGAACCGGGCTAGTTTAAATAGCTAGATAGCCAAGACATCAGCAGAAGGGGGCGCCACTCCAGTAGGAGTTGCCACCCTCCTACTTTATCGATAGCCCTACCAAAAACGAATACCTCCTTCTTAATTCTTCCAGCCGATTCCAACTCGAAATGCAACACCACCCAAGGATTTAGAGAGACGCCTCCGAACCATGGCCACTCGACGAAATCATTGGGAGCATTGGAGATCGGTGCCTGGCGAAATCCGCATGCAGTTCCAAACGGTGCCCTACGCGGGGCCCACGCATGCCGGTAAGTACTGCCTTTGTTTTTTGTGTTGTGCTCCTTTAATTTATGCTGCCTCATTTCAGGTTATACCCGGATGTCCTTGGCGTGATACACCCCTATCCGACGTCCTTGAAGATCCTCCAGCTCGTAAGCATTGTTGCCGACTGCTTTCACCACCCGAGCTTTGAGGAACTTCCGAGCAAACTTCGCGTTAAAGGCACTTTTGAAGTCGCTGAGGACGAAGTTACGGCGATACACTTCTTGGCCTGGCTTCGCAAGGAACGTCCGAGCTCTCTGGTCGTACTGCTGGCGACTTCGCTCGTACGACTTTTCGAGATTCGTCTGCACCTTGGCCTGGATCACTTTGAGCTTGTCGACTGTTCCCATCCCAGCAATCTCATGGTCGCACAGGGATTTCAACTTTCTCGCCAACTTGTAGCTGGCCCCGTTCAAGAACATGTGATGACCGAAAACCGTGAAGAAGGGCGTTTCGCCAGTTGCTGCGTGTATCGCGTTGCGAAGAGCCACCTCGATCTCCGGGAGAAATGCGTCCCATTCCCGATGGTCTTCCTCCAAATAACTCCGGATTGACGCCAGCACGCTTCGATTAACTCGTTCTGCGGCGTTGCTTTGCGGAGAGTAGACTGGAGTCTTGATGTGGGAAATGCCGAAACTCTCCACTGCCTCCACGAAGATCTTTGACGTAAACTGTCGACCGTTGTCTGAGTGAATGATTTCCGGGACCCCGAACTTGTAGAATACCTCGTGGATGAGGAATTCTACCACGCTGGCGGCCGAGGCTTCCTTCATGGCTTTCAGAAACGTATACTTCGAAAAATGGTCGACGACAATGAAGATCCATGCGTGGCCCTTCTTCGACCTCGGATATTTTCCAAGAAAATCGATGTACAATTTCTGAAATGGCTGCTCAGTCTGGACTCTTTCCCCAATACCAACTTGCATCCGGAAATTCGGCGCCTTGGACTCCTTACAGACATCACATCTGCGTACGAAAGCTCGGACCTGCAGCACCATACCTGGCCAGTAGAACTGTCGCCGTAGGATTTCCAGAGTCTTTCCCATTCCGCCATGAGCTGCTGTTGGGTCCGTATGCGCACGCTCGATTAGGCTGTGGGTCAGACTCTGTGGGATCCACAGTTTCCATTCGGAACCTTCCATCTCATCGTCCAGATTTACCGAAGAGACTCTCTTGAAGATGAGACCATCCACGATCTTCAGGTCCGGTAAGTTATCCAAGTTATTTTCCACCTCCTTCACTAACTCGAGATAATCTTCTCCAGCGAACTCGGTGGTTTCGAACCCCAACAAATCCGTCGGATTAACTACGAGCTCCTCCACACACCGTGAAAGGGTGTCTGCCACGACGTTCTCACTTCCTTTTCGGTGCTCGATGTTGAAGTGGAACCCTTGAAGCTGCAGCGACCACCTCGCCAACCGTCCCGACAGATCCTTCATGGACATGAGCCACTTCAAGCTGGCATGATCCGTGATGCAGGTGAATGGCATCCCTTCGACATATGGCCGGAACTTCCGGATGGCCATGAGCGCCGCGAGACATTCTTTCTCGGTCACGGTGTAATTTACCTGATGTTTATTCATCTTGGCCGAGAAAAAGGCAATTGGCTGTTCTTGTCCGTCGTCGTCTCGCTGGAAAAGCACCGCCCCGACTCCGACGTGTGACGCATCGCACTGGATAAAAAACCGTCTCTTGAAGTCTGCATGCACCAGGACTGGTGCAGTCGTTAAAGCCATCTTCAATGACTCTACGGCTAGCTGGTCCTCTGGACTCAAGGAAAACTTAGAATTTCCAGTTTTCTTCAGCGATTCAGTGAGCGGGGCGGCCAACGTCGCAAAGTTCTTTATGAACCGGCGGTACCATCCAGCAGTCCCAAGGAACGCTCGCACCTCCTTCATCGTCCTAGGCTCTGGCATCCCCCTGATCGCTGCTACTCGTCCCGGATCCATTCGTAGACGACCTCCGCCAACGATAAAGCCCAGGTAGGTCAATGATTTGAAGCAAAACTTTGACTTACTCATACCTATCGTTAACCCCGCTGCTTTCAGGCATTCCGCGACTCTCCGAAGGTATCTGAAATGGGTCTGGATATCTGGAGCCAGTATCAGCAGATCATCTAGATAGACGAATACGTTGGACCGGATCTCAGCTGGGATCACTCGGTCCATGAGTCTCACCAACCGCTGTGCCGCGTTGCAAAGTCCGAAGGGCATCACCCGGAACTAATAGAGAGGCCGACCAGGAACCGTAAAGGCCGTCAGTTCCTTGCTCTTCTGGTCCAACTCGATCTGCCAGAATGCGAACTTCAAATCCACGCTGGAAATGTAGAACGTTTGGTCGATTCTGGACAGGATTCCTTCGATACTCGGCAGCGGGTAAGCGTCTTTAATGGTCAAATCGTTCAATTTGCGCGCGTCTAAGCAGAACCGATCTTTCCCAGGCCTCGACACTACCGACGTCCGGTTGCTCCACGGCTCATGCTCTCCTCGATGACTCCGAGCGCTAGCATCTTGTCCACCTCATCCTCGACAACCTTCTGCTTCGCTGGAGACATGGGATATGGCCGATCCTTGAAGACCTTGGCTCCCTCGATCAGCTCGATCGTGTGCTTCTCCAAATTCGTCGTACCCAGACCATCCTTCTCAAATGTGAGAAACACCTCCTGGATCTCCGCGAGCTGTCGTGCGTCGGCCTCAGATAACGTCCAGGATTCGGGATCCGGTTTCTCCTCGTCGTCGTCTTCCTGTTCGGCGTAGTGCTCCATATCCCTAGCGTGGATTTCGTCTGCCTTGACGCTTTCCGGGTCGCTGGGGCCTATCACCGCTGGAGCCAAGTCAAACGCCTGCCAGAAGTCCACTCCGAAATAGGCTTCCTGCTCCAGGTATGGACATACATAGAACAGGATCCGCTTTATCTGTCCTTGGTACTCCACAGGTAGCTCGACGCGTCCTATAATCGTGCGATCCTCTCCAGACGCCGTTCGGACCACAGACAGGTACTTCTGGATTGGTACATCCAACGCCTCGACGAGCTCTCTTCCACCTTTGCCCAGCAGGCTGACACTAGCTCCCGTGTCCAATAAGCCAGTCAGCTGTTGGGTCAGGATCCGGACTTCAGCGAATGGTCGAGGGTCTCCCGTTCCACTGCGCTTCACAGCGGCAACCACTTCTCGCCTCCTCGCTCGTCTCTTACGGAATCGATCCCTGGCCTTCTGGACTTTCCTAGACACCGTTCGCATGCCGGCTAACTGGTGCTCGGAGAAAATTCGTTTCCTGGTCTCCAGGTACCGACGCATCCTTTCCTCATAAGGTAAGTATTTTAAACTGTGCTTATTCCTACTCGTACATACTAAACCTTTTTTACATTCTAGAACATCTACTGCATCGCGGGACTCTTGTCTGGACGCATCCTTCCCGCTCTCAGATCGCCCAGCCGACCGTTTTCCGCGCAATCCGGACATCTCGGAGACACAGTGTCTGGCCTTCCGCATCGGTAGCAGAACAGGCGCCGTTCTGTTGCCGCGCAGTCACGGAACCCGTGGTCTACGGCTCCGCAATTCCAGCAGCCCGCTCGAAACGGATTTCGGGCCTTCGCTTGTAACGCCTTCTCCTTGTAACGCATTCACCTGCCACTGGGAATCCTCTGCAGTATCTGGACCAGCTGCCTCGCTAACCCTGGCCTTCTCCGCCGGAGGATAACGCATCGGGTGCGCATAGGCCGCGCGTCCTCGTCGTCCAAAATTAAGCTCCACCTCGCAGCACTCTTCCCTCAACTCGTCCACAGTCATCACATCCATTGCGTAAACGAATCTTGCGATACCCTCTCTCAAGCCCTTTTTAATAATTTTTACCATCTGTCGCTCTGACAGTGGTTTTTTTAGGCGAGAGGCTAGCTGCTGCATCGCATGGACATAATCCTCCACGGCTTCTCCCGGCTGTTGCTCCTTCTGCAGAAGCTGATGCATCCGGTCGTGCTCCGTCTGGTGGCCTCGGAACCTGTCCATCAGCGCAGCACGCAGCTGTGGCCATCTCTCCACCCTACGTTGACGCACGTGGACCCAATACCACTCGCGTGCCCGTCCGGTTAGCAGCACATGGAAATGGCGGAGCACTTCCTGCCAAGGGCACTGGTACTGCCGCTGCAGGAACTCGAGCCGGAACAGGAAATCTTCCACCGAGTTTCGCTCGTCCTCGCCATCAAATGAAACGCCCCACCGCTCGATGCGAACCTGTTGGCTGCCGCCACCTGGCCCTGTATTGGCATAAAAGCGCGGCTCCTCGCGAAAATCAGAAACCCTGCGGTCCTCGAAGTGCCAATTTCGAGGCTCGTTGCGTCGCCCTCGTTCGCCATCCAGAGGATATCCTGGACTGCTGCTCTCCACCGGAAACGAATCCAAGGGCCTTCTAGGCGGCTTTGGTGGAACCCTTGGTGGCGGTGGACGGGAGCCAATCGAACTTGCTGATGGTGCAGTCTTTGGAATCGCCCCTGTCTGGACCAGACTTGGAGACAGTGGTGCCGCCGTGTCCGTCCAACCCGGAGGTTGCTGCTGATCGGTATGGTTCCCCTGTGGAAGCTGCGGCCGCTGAGCAGCAGGCCTTAACACCTCGTTCATCAGCTTCATCATTTCCAGGAACCCACCTCGGATTTCATCCCTTAAGGACTGGCTGACGCCGGACTCCTGAGCCTTCCGATGGGTCTCTGCCGCCTGGGCCAATGCCACATTTACTGCCGATTTCGCCGCGTTGTCCAGAAACGCCTCCGAGCTCACTTGCTCCGGAACTTGATGTTGCGTGGGATCTGCTCCCATCTGAAGTTCCCTGCGCAGCTCCTGATGAAGACGACCCAACGGAGTCCTTGGCAGTCCCATCGATATCCGTGGCTGTTCGGCCCCAGCAACCTCATCTAAATCGGTGGACCACAATTTCTCCTCTTCCTCGGCCGGAAGAACCTTCGATCGGAGATCGTAATTGGAAGGCATCGTACAGCACAACAAAAAAAATATATGTATATTTCCCTAAAAATTCTAATATAACACCCGAAACAAATCACCAAAAGAAATAAATACTTAAGAAGAAAAATAAATATAATAACGACAAGTAAATAATAAATAAACAGATAAATATATATACATGTAAGAACAGATAATAATTATTGAAACAAATTTTTAAATAACTAAATAAATGTATAATTTTAGGAAAGATATTTATAATTTTTTTTTAAATAAATAAATACTTGGGAAAATGAATAAATAATTTAGATAAATAAATGGAATTAATAAATAGAATAAATAAATAGATAAATAAATAATATATTATATTTATGATTTTTCCTTTTTATTTTGTTTCTTTTAAGATTTGAATTTGGGGAGATGGAACTGACCCTCGCCGGTGGACTTCCGACCTAGCTCGTCCGGTGCTTTCCAAAACCCAATTTTTCCCGTCACATCCTTTCACACGCCGCTCGTCAACTGGACTGGCTATCACTCTTGGTGATAGCCGCCAGTTAAGGACATCGGCTGCTCGTTGAGTCCTGTTGGCTTTGTTTTCCCGTTTGTGGTTTGATCCTTAAATCGAGGTGTTCGTGCAGCGCGTGTACATAAGTCACGGGTCACGAACACACATTTAAGCATCCAACCGACAGAAGGTATCAAACACATCCGAGAAACAAAAGCCTCAGGATCAACAAAAACAACAACTACGGATTAACTACAACGGACTTTACCCCACAAACACAAAATATAAATAAAAATAAATAAATAAATTAAATTCTACGCCCTAACTATTTTATCACAGTTTACATATGTATATCACAGAGTTATTGCACGGACCTTCGGATGCAAATCCTTCGATCCTATTACAGGCGAAGATGCCACCCGGCGGTCACGACCAGTGTTCTCTGTGACCAGGAGCCATTGCCTCTACTCGGAGTCAAGCCTCCTGCCTGCTCAAAAAATAAATTCCCCTCTAAACCTTTCTCTCTCTGCCACGCAGCCCACCACTCCCGGTGCAGTTGCATGCAACCTGCTGTTGCTCTGCAAGTCACCGGAGCGGAGGCTATGCGAGGCAAATCCCTACACGCGAGACGTCGTCGTCTCGACGATTTATTTTTTTACTTTGGGCGCCACTATGTTATGGAACTGCATTTGGTCCTGGGACGGCGCCGGCTAGCTCCCGAATCCCCAGGGCGGAGTATCCCCAATGTCCCTACAGATTCCACAACATAAACATCGATATACGCGCGTCTCACTTCACAAAAACTATCGCTCATCACTAACAAACAAAACAAACCAAAATGTAAACAATGCAAACAATTAGGAGTGACGGGAAATATATGGTGTTTTGGTGGCTATTGGTGACCTAGCCAAGCACGCCCACCCAACCAAGGATGCCCCGGATGATTCTGAGGAGGCATCACCCATAATCAGCTGGTCGAAGTCACTCCTCGCGACTAGGACAGCTCCATCTCCCCCACAGCGACAACTCACTCGCACATTTCGGTCTTCATGTACATTTAATATCCACAGTAAGTACTAAAGTTAACATAACTTGTTCTCCTAGTAATTAATTTATCCTTTCATAGCCTCTACGACCAAACTTGGCCACCGTCTCCAAATTTAACCGGTCAAAGCGGAAGATTACCTTCCTTTGGCAAAGGCTACAGGCGCCGCGGAAATAATGTTCCACCAGTCACTTATTGGTGGAACTCGCATTGAACGAGGCGCACAAAAGGGCACACACTAGGTATGTGTCGGGTCACCTAATCCTGAGGAGCTCCTAGGGAAAAGAAGGGACAGGCCAAACGGTAAGTATTACGCGCTGTAAACAATCCCGCCGAAAACTAATAATCGCGACCCTTTTTTACAGGCAACAACGAGGACAAGAATTGAGGTTTTCGGGTCTAAGTCCGGATAAATTTACAGGTCAACAGGTAAGTACATAAATTTAATAATGTGCACAGTTAAATTAACGTTAATAATTTCAGCCACTTCTGGGCTAGGCGCCGGGCTAACTATGCCCCGACTACAGCGTACTCTGCCGGAGGCCAGCGCCAATAAGGGCCTGTAACACCCGGAGGAACGGTGGTTAAGGAAGGGATAGATGGCGGTGCCTCTCAACGCCGCGCGCACTGGCAGCCTGACGACCCCAAAGCAGGTGGGTCTTAATAGCCCGGAACGGACTCACCGGCGTGTATAAGAAAGCGTTGGCGGCGTCCGAGGATGACGAGTTATGGTGTCCAGATCTCGTAGCTGGCTCGACCGAAGGTGCGTATTTTCCTGATTTTCCCGATTTAATTTCCTCCAATTTAAAATCACGATTTATTTCCAATTTGATTTTCCAGATTTAATTCCCTCCAATTTGAATGTCCAATTTGAATTTCCAATTAGTCCAATTTTATATGTCCAATTAAGTCTTCTAATTTGAACTTCCAATTTAAATTCCTCCAATTTAAATATCCCGGGGCCCTTTGTATTGGGACCCCGGTTGCCCTACGAATAATTATTTATAAATAAAATGAACTATTAAACCTAACACAAATTTTTCTAACACTCACTTTTTATATATTTCGGCACAAACACTATTTTAACATTTTTATGTTCTGTCTGCTGGGACAATATGGCTGCGACTATATAGAAATTTGCCTATCATGCCTATATCTCGCCATATTCCCTTCCCCTCTCTCGAAATTGGGTCATTGGACATATCAAGGCCATCCTAGCCATACCCAGAGCGAACCGGGCTAGTTTAAATAGCTAGATAGCCAAGACATCAGCAGAAGGGGGCGCCACTCCAGTAGGAGTTGCCACCCTCCTACTTTATCGATAGCCCTACCAAAAACGAATACCTCCTTCTTAATTCTTCCAGCCGATTCCAACTCGAAATGCAACAAAATCGACATGACTTCATTGTTTTAAGTAATATAGGCATAGAAAGCGAAATGTAGTCGATTAGTTATAACTGCAAGGGTATATAAACTTCGGCTTGCCGAAGTTTGCTTTCTGTCTTGTTAATTCGTATACTTTGTGTAATACAACATAAACAAATAAAACATTCAATATTTAAGTTTGTTATGGAACTGCATTTTCTCCTGGGACGGCGCCGGCTAGCTCCCGAATCCCCAGGGCGGAGTATCCCCAATATCCCTACAGTATCCACAACATTAACATCGATATACGCGCGTCTCACATCACAAAAAATATCGGTCTTCACTAACATGCAAAACAAACAAAATCTAAACAATGCAATTAATAGAAGTGACGGGAAATATATGATGTTTTGGTGGCTATTGGTGACCTAGCCAAGCACGCCCACCCAACCAAGGATGCCCCGGATGATTCTGCGGAGGTATCACCCATCATATGCTGGTCGAAGTCACTCCTCGCGACTAGGACAGCTCCATCTCCCCCACAGCGACAACTCACTCGCACATTTCGGTCTTCATGTACATTTAATATCCACAGTAAGTACTAAAGTTAACATAACTTGTTCTCCTAGTAATTAATTTATCCTTTCATAGCCTCTACGACCAAACTTGGCCACCGTCTCCAAATTTAACCGGTCAAAGCGGAAGATTACCTTCCTTTGGCAAAGGCTACAGGCGCCGCGGAAATAATGTTCCACCAGTCACTTATTGGTGGAACTCGCATTGGAACGAGGCGCACAAAAGGGCACACACTAGGTATGTGTCGGGTCACCTAATCCTGAGGAGCTCCTAGGGAAAAGAAGGGACAGGCCAAACGGTAAGTAGTACGCGCTGTAAACAATCCCGCTGAAAACTAATAATCGCGACACTTTCACAGGCAACAACGAGGACAAATTAAGGTTTTCGGGTCTAAGTCCGGATAAATTTACAGGTCAACAGGTAAGTACATAAATTTAGCAATGTGCACATTTAAATTAACATTAATGATTTCAGCCACTTCTGGGCTAGGCGCCGGGCTAACTATGCCCCGACTACAGCGTACTCTGCCGGAGGCCAGCAGCAGTAAGGGCCTGGAACACCCCGAGGAGCGGTGGCGAAGGCGAGCCTGATGGCGGTGCCTCTCAACGCCGCGCGCACTGGCAGCCTGACGACCCCAAAGCAGGTGGGTCTTAATAGCCCGGAACGGACTCACCGGTGAATGTCGGATGGCGTTGGCTGCGTCCGAGGAAGGCGAGTAGTGTTTGTCCAGATCTCGTAGCTGGCTCGACCGAAGGTGCGTATTTTCCTGATTTTCCAGATTTAATTTCCTCCAATTTAAAATCACGATTTATTTCCAATTTGATTTTCCAGATTTAATTCCCTCCAATTTAAATCTCCAATTTGAATTTCCAGATTTAATTAGTCCAATTTTATATGTCCAATTAAGTCTTCTAATTTGCACTTACAATATAAGTATCCCGGGGCCCTTTGTATTGGGACCCCGGTTGCCCTACGAATAATTATTTATAAATAAAATAAACTATTAAACCTAACACAAATTTCTCTAACACTCACTTTTTATTATATTTCGGCACAAACACTATTTTAACATTTTTGTTCTGTCCGCTGGGACAATATGTCTGCGACTATATAAAAATTTGCCTATCATGCCTATATCTCGCCATATTCCCTTTGCCTCTCTCGAAATTGGGTCATTGGACATATCAAGGCCATCCTAGCCATACCCAGAGCGAACCGGGCTAGTTTAAATAGCTAGATAGCCAAGACATCAGCAGAAGGGGGCGCCACTCCAGTAGGGGTTGCCACCCTCCAACTTTATCGATAGCCCTACCAAAGACGAATACCTCCTTCTTAATTCTTCCAGCCGATTCCAACTCGAAATGCAACACCACGCCTCCGAACCATGGCCACTCGACGAAATCATTGGGAGCATTGGAGATCGGTGCCTGGCGAAATCCGCACGCTTGCCGGTAAGTACTGCCTTTGTTTTTTTGTGTTGTGCTCCTTTAATTTATGCTGCCTCTTTTCAGGTTATACCCGGATGTCCTTGGCGTGATACACCCCTATCCGACGTCCTTGAAGTTCTTCCAACTCGTAGGCATTGTTACCAACGGCTTTCACCACTCGAGCCTTAAGGAATTTCCTGGCGAACTTGGCGTTAAACGACTTTCTAAAGTCACTGAGGACGAAGTTACGGCGGTATACCTCCTGACCTGGCTTGGCCATGAAGTTCCGAGCCCGTTGGTCATATTGCTTGCGGCTTTGGTCATAGGCTGTCTCCAGATTCTTTCGGACCTTTTCCTGGATCACTCGGAGTTTGTCCGCCGTCTTCATGCCCGCCATCTCGTGGTCACACAAGGACTTTAGCTTCCTCGCTAACCTATAGTTGGCGCCGTTCAGGAACATATGATGTCCGAACACTGTAAAGAAAGGAGCTTCTCCTGTTGCCGAGTGGATCGCGTTTCGAAGGGCTACCTCAATCTCAGGAAGGTAGACGTCCCAGTCTCGATGGTCACCATCTAAAAAGCTCCGGATTGCGGCCAACACGCTTCGATTTACTCGTTCTGCTGCGTTGCTCTGTGGGGAGTATACCGGAGTCTTTAGGTGTGAGATACCGAAACTCTCCATCGCCTCCTGGAAGATCTTCGACGTGAACTGCCGACCATTGTCTGAGTGTATTACCTCCGGGACGACAAATTTGTAAAATACCTCGTGGATGAGAAAATCGACGACGTTCGAGGATGTAGCTTCCCTCATGGCCTTCAGGAATACAAATTTGGAGAAATGGTCCACCACGATAAAAATCCAGGCATGACCCTTCCTTGACCTCGGATATTTTCCCAAGAAGTCGATATACAGCTTCTGGAATGCCTGTTCCGTCTGGACTCTTTCTCCAATACCGACCTGCATCCCGAAATTTGGCGCCTTGGACTCCTTGCAGACATCACATCCACGCACAAACTCGCGGACTTGGAGAACCATGCCTGGCCAGTAGAACTGCCGTCGGAGGATTTCCAGAGTCTTTCCCATTCCGCCATGAGCTGCTGTTGGGTCCGTATGCGCACGCTCGATTAGGCTGTGGGTCAGACTCTGTGGAATCCACAGTTTCCACTCGGAACCTTCCACCTCATCGTACTGATTTGCCGAGGAGACTCTCTTGAAGATGAGACCATCCTCGATCTTCAAGTCCGGAAAGTTTTCCAAGTTGTCTTCCACATCTTTCACTAACTCGAGATAACCTTCTCCAGCGAACTCGGTGGTTTCGAAACCCAACAAATCCGTCGGATTCACTACGAGCTCCTCCACACACCGTGAAAGCGTGTCTGCCACGACGTTCTCGCTTCCTGTTCGGTGCTCTATGTTGAAGTGGAACCCTTTAAGCTGCAGCGACCACCTCGCCAAACGTCCCGACAGATCCTTCATGGACATGAGCCACTTCAAGCTGGCATGATCCGTGATGCAGGTGAATGGCATCCCTTCGACATATGGCCGGAACTTCTGGATGGCCATGAGCGCCGCGAGACACTCTTTCTCGGTCAAGGTGTAATTTACCTGATGTTTATTCATCTTGGCCGAGAAAAATGCAATTGGCTGCTCTTGTCCGTCGTCGTCTCGCTGGAAAAGCACCGCCCCGACTCCGACGTGTGACGCATCGCACTGGGTAAAGAACCGTCTCTTGAAGTCCGCATGCACCAGGACTGGTGCAGTCGTTAAAGCCATCTTCAAAGCTTCTACCGCAAGCTGAGCCTCTGGACTCAAGGAAAACTTAGAATTTCCAGTTTTCTTCAGCGATTCAGTGAGCGGGGCGGCCAACGTCGCAAAGTTCTTTATGAACCGGCGGTACCATCCAGCAGTCCCAAGGAACGCTCGCACCTCCTTCATCGTCCTAGGCTCTGGCATCCTCCTGATCGCTGCTACTCGTCCCGGATCCATTCGTAGACGACCTCCACCAAATAAAGCCCAGGTAGGTCAATGATTTGAAGCAAAACTTTGACTTACTCATACCTATCGTTAACCCCGCTGCTTTCAGGCATTCCGCGACTCTCCGAAGGTATCTGAAATGGGTCTGGATATCTGGAGCCAGTATCAGCAGATCATCTAGATAGACGAATACGTTGGACCGGATCTCAGCTGGGATCACTCGGTCCATGAGTCTCACCAACCGCTGTGCCGCGTTGCAAAGTCCGAAGGGCATCACCCGGAACTAATAGAGAGGCCGACCAGGAACCGTAAAGGCCGTCAGTTCCTTGCTCTTCTGGTCCAACTCGATCTGCCAGAATGCGAACTTCAAATCCACGCTGGATATGTAAAATGTTTGGTCGATTCTGGACAGGATTCCGTCGATACTCGGCAGCGGGTAAGCGTCTTTAATGGTCAAATCGTTCAATTTGCGCGCGTCTAAGCAGAACCGATCTTTCCCAGGCCTCGAAACTACCGTCGTCCGGTTGCTCCACGGGCTCATGCTCTCCTCGATGACTCCGAGCGCTAGCATCTTGTCCACCTCATCCTCGACAACCTTCTGCTTCGCTGGAGACATGGGATATGGCCGATCCTTGAAGACCTTGGCTCCCTCGATCAGCTCGATCGTGTGCTTCTCCAAATTAGTCGTACCCAGACCATCCTTCTCAAATGTGAGAAACACCTCCTGGATCTCAGCGAGCTGTCGTGCGTCGGCTCCGGATAAGGTCCATGATTCGGGATCCGGTTTCTCCTCGTCGTCATCTTCCTGTTCGGCGTAGTGCTCCATATCCCTAGCGTGGATTTCGTCTGCCTTGACGCTTTCCGGGTCGCTGGGGCCTATCACCGCTGGAGCCAAGTCAAACGCCTGCCAGAAGTCCACTCCGAAATAGGCTTCCTGCTCCAGGTATGGACATACATAGAACAGGATCCGCTTTATCTGTCCTCTGTACTCCACAGGTAGCTCGACGCGTCCTATAATCGAGCGGTCCTCTCCAGACGCCGTTCGGACCACGGATAGGTACTTCTGGATTGGCACATCCATCGCCTCGACGAGCTCTCTTCCACCTTTGCCCAGCAGGCTGACACTAGCTCCCGTGTCCAATAATCCAGTCAGCTGTTGGGTCAGGATCCGGACTTTAGCGAATGGTCGAGGGTCTCCCGTTCCATTGCGCTTCACAGCGGCAACCACCTCTCGCCTCTTCGCTCGTCTCTTCCGGAATCGATCCCTGGCCTTCTGGACTTTCCTATACACCGTTCGCATGCCGGCCAACTGGTGCTCGGAGAATATTCTATTCCTGGTCTCCAGATATCGACGCATCCTCTCCTCATAAGGTAAGTATTTTAAACTGTGCTTATTCCTACTCGTACATACTAAGCCTTTTTTTATTCCTAGAACATCTACTGCTTCGCGGGACTCTTGTCTGGACGCATCATTCCCGCCCTCGGATCGCCCAGCCGACCGTTTTCCTCGCAATCCGGACATCTCGGAGACACGGTGTCTGGCCTTCCGCATCGGTAACAGAACAAGCGCCGTTCTGTTGCCGCACAGTCACGGAACCCGTGGTCTACGGCTCCGCAATTCCAGCAGCCCGCTCGGAACGGATTTCGGGCCTTCGCTTGTAACGCCTCCACTTGCCACTGAGAATCCTCTGCAGTATCTGGACCAGCTGCCTCGCTAACCCTGGCCTTCTCCGCCGGAGGATAACGCATCGGGAGCGCATAGGCCGCACGTCCTCGTCGTCCAAAATTGCGCTCCACCTCGCAGCACTCTTCCCTCAACTCGTCCACAGTCATCACATCCATTGCGTAAACAAATCTTGCAATACCCTCTCTCAAGCCCTTTTTAATTATTTTTACCATCTGTCGCTCTGACAGTGGTTTTTTTAGGCGAGAAGCTAGCTGCTGCATCGCATGGACATAGTCCTCCACGGCTTCTCCCGGCTGCTGCTCCCTCTGCAGAAGCTGATGCATCCGGTCGTGCTCCGTCTGGTGGCCTCGGAACCTGTCCATCAGCGCGGCATGCAGCTGTGGCCATCTCTCCACCCTGCAGTGACGCACGTGGACCCAATACCACTCGCGTGCCCGTCCGGAAATGGCGAAGCACTTCCTGCCAAGGGCACTGGTACTGCCGCTGCAGGAACTCGAGCCGGAACAGGAAATCCTCCACCGAGTTTCGCTCGTCCTCGCCATCAAAAGAAACGCCTGATGCGAACCTGTTGGCTGCCGCCACCTAGCCCTGTATTGGCATATAAGCGCGGCTCCTCGCGGAAATCGGAAGCCCTGCGGTCCTCGTAGTGCCAATTTCGAGGATCGTTGCGTCGCCCTCGTTCGCCATCCAGAGGATATCCTGGACTGCTGCTCTCCACCGGAAACGACTCCAAGGGCCTTCTAGGCGGCTTTGGTGGAACCAAAGACCAATATAAACACCAAGATGCGTAACGCCATACGATTTTTTTGCACACGAATTTTTTGTGGCTTGCTTTTCGCTCTCTGCCCAAAAGCCAGCGAGAGAGCGCTCAAAAGCCAGCCGCTCTTTGCACGCATACTGCGACAGTCAACGAATGTATGTGTGCACATGTATTCACAAGCGAAGAAATTCGCTG